TGGGTCAAGAATTTCTGTAGCTTACCTACACGTCATGTGGAATTAAATTTATTCCTTTTTATCTTATGCATTGCAGGTTTATTTTATACTTTTTAGTTGGCTTTTTTTTTAATTTTGTTGTGGGGTTTTTTCTGGTGGTTGGTTGTGGGGTTTTTTTGTTTGTTTTTTCAGTTTTTTACTGGGAGAAGCAGCGAACAGCTTTGAATCACTCCTGATATTCACCTTATCACCTTCATGCTTCACAGCTTAAAAAAGAGGACATCCTATTTAATTGTGTCACATGTAGAGGCCCTGGTAACATTTTGGCAATCCCTGTATCCTTCCTGTGTGCTCCATTCCAATTGTCCTATCTTAAAAAGATTTCAAGATACAAGAGCATTTTCTGCTTTTATTTTTCTTTCCCTAGTTGCTGTTCTGACCACTACTAGTTTTGAGCTGATGTTTTCTTAGATTGCTTCAAACTGGAGCCTCATTTCTTTCATGTTAACTCAGTGCTTATTCCTGCACTGTGAAGCTGAAACTTCTCTTTTTAACTATTCCATATGCATTGCTTTATTTATACTGAATTTCAGCTGTCTGTTTTATTGTCCAGGCACTCAGTGTTCAGAACTGCCTGCAGCTTTTGACCTCAGCCCTCGTCTTTAGTACCTGAACGAGTCAACTTTTATCACCCCACTGTTCATCTTCTTTTTCAAGGCATTAGTTTGGTTTTGAATAGGACAGATGCTGCCTTGTTCCACTGAAAACTTCTTAAAACACAGTGTGGTACATATGAATCATATTTCCTCTTGTGTACTTGTTTATTGACTTACCCAAAGGATTGTAGTAGGTAGGAGTCATCTCTCTCAAACAAAAGCAGTGTTTGCTCTCTACAAAGTAATATTTACTATTGCAGCCACTACTTTTTCCTAAATTCTTTCCATTTGGCTTGTGGGTTAAAATAAAGGGAAATTACATGACTGCAGCAGTAATTCTGTACTGAAAATAATTTGTTCCTCTACACAGAGTTGCACATATACCCTTTTGTTAGCAAGCTTTTTCCTCCTTTTGAATCTGATGCTACCAGAAGAGCTTTGCGCAGGTGTCTGTTGATGCAAGCTAAGAACCTGCCTTCTCCAAGAATTTTTGAGCACAGAAATAACAGTTCTCTTACTTATTTTTTGTATAACTCCCAGTTTACATGAGAGGAAACTTCAGCTTTAGAAATTAAAATGCTCAGAAGGGTTGTTCTTCCCTTATGGACTCTGGTGAATACCCTTTGCAGCTCTTGTTTTTTGTTTTTTTTTTTACCAGCTGTGATAAATGTGTTAATCTTTTGACAGCTGGAGATGCTGTCAGGTTGGCAGGTGTAGCTTAGCTTTGCTTTCTTTTGTAAAATTCATGTAATTCTTTCAGATATGAATTCTTATAATAAAGAAACAAAGTAAACCATGTTTCATTGCTATAAAAGAAGCAAATCGATTTGCCAGAGCTGAAGCCAGTGAGCAGAGCGATGCCTGACTCAGCAGATCTGGCTTGCAGGAATTTGAGGGAATGCTTTGGTTTTGGAGCACAGATTTTCTTTTTAAACTTCTACTTGTGTTTTGTGTTTCAGTCCTGCTGCTTTGGCGAGTCAAAAATAGGTATAATGTGATATGTCACACTTACACACTTTATACCATATGTATTCTCAGAGGTGCTGCTTTTCTTATAATTGAATCATTAGAAGAAAAGCTGATGGTCAGAACATGGCTCCTTTCCTTAAGAAAAGAGCCATGCTACTTCAAGAAATCTCAGTTCTGATGTCAATCAGGATAACAAAGATGAATTTGTTAAGAAACTCTGAATTTGGGCTGTCTGCAAGAGTGCTCTCTCTGGATAAAAAAGGGTATATCCACGTGTGGACGATGCAGTTTCTGCAGCTGTGTGTTGTTGGATGGGGCTGACCTTACCTCTTGAATAACTTCATGGTGGGGGGTGTGACACAGAGTGCCTGGTACAGGTGGTTATAACTGCAAGTGTTAGAAAGGGAAGGGAGAATCTGGCAGGTGCCTCATCATGGCTCGTTTGTGTAAAGCAAGTTCTCCTGGTATGAGGTTATCTGGGGTCTCTGGTAAGCAGCAGAGAAAGATTAATTGCTTAGGTGAGGAGGCTGAGAACAGCTGGTTTGTGGCAGCTGGGGTAAGGGGCTCTTCTTTTGGGTGACAGATATTTCAGGATGCGGGCGGATGGGACAAAGGGGCTTTCCTACATCTTTCCTCTCATGATAGAAAAAAAAAAAAGTCAAATAATCACAGGGCTGGATCTGTCCGTTTCCCAGATGTCAAATTCATCTGAGGTCAGTTTAAACTGTTACCTCCTTGGAACAGGAACTACATCGCTTCCTGTTTTACCAAGCGCTGAGCTGGATGTCAACTCTCGTTAAACAGAAAAGAAGAAGAATGCAATTAGCCTGGTGGATAAAAGGCAGGAAAAGGTCTCTTAGCTATGAAAAATCAACACTTGAGGAAGCAAACCACATGTGGAGAACAAATGCTGGAATAAAACCCAACTGTTTGGAAATAATTCCTTTATTACTTGAATAAACAGCAGCATAATTTGTTGGAGTTACAGCGTGAGCTGTTCTGTACCCTATATCTGTAAGAAGAATTCATTGCTAACTTAAAAGCAGATGGCTTTATATGGCCCTGGGTGTGTTCTCTGGGAAATGTTAAATACTGTGATATAGGAACAGAAATACCCTAATAATGCTGCAGCAGGCTAAAAGGAACAGGGATACTATAAAACAAGTACAAAATATGCTATGTCTGTATCCCATATTTCAGGTAGATTAAAAGCAGTCATGGATTTTTTTTTTATTTTTTTTTTTAAGAAGTACATGTCCTGTGGGAGAACAGACATCTTAAAGTTCATTCGGATCAAGACACAGATGCCAATAGGCTCATGGCCAGGCTCTGTTGTGCATACTTAGGTTTGAAAAATACTTCCCTTCCTGCTTTGGAGACAAAAAACACTTCTACTTTTTGTGTTTTGATTATTTATTTTTTGAAGCAAATGACAGCAAGTTACTTAAAAGAATTTTAATGGGCTTTTTTCTCCCTTTTCAAATAAAGGCACAGTATCAGCACATAGCAGTGGATCCTTCAGGAATGCCAGTATTTCTGCAGAGTCTTATTTAAATCAGATAAATAAAGGTGAGAGTAAAGAACGTTTTATTACCTTTTAAGATAGAACTGAAACTTGTATCTCCTGAATACCCCACTCCATGCCAACCACAAGTGAGCCGATGCCTGTAGAACCACTGTTCTTGGAGCTCATGCTTCAATAGATCTGCTTTATACCTTTTGTTCTCTGCCATGTTGGTTCTTGACTGGGTTGTCTATTATCTGAGTTTATCGTATGTAACACATCCAAATTTAGCCTATAATCTCTTTGGGATGGTGATAATAGTTACAAAGTTGGAGTTGAGCAGGTCTCATGGGTTGAGCTGTCTCTGCACTGTCCTGATCTTCTATGGTTCCACGAGGCAAGTGCAGCCTTAGTGTGACTTATTGAAGTCATCTGGCTTTCTCAGTTCTGCTAGTGGAGTACAGCATATTGCATACTGCAGCCTGGTTCTGGACATGTCCTTATGCTGAGGTCTGCGAGAGTATCTTTGAAAAGTAAGAGCTCAAGTTAGCAAAGTCTGTTCTTGACAACCACCAGGGCTTTGTTCAGCTGGAGCTGGTGCAGAAGGTCTGGTGTTGCACCATGCATTGTATGCCAGGCCCATGGCAAAAGCGCAACAGCATGCGGTGGCACATGCTGTCTGTTAATCAATTAGCAATCAATGTTAATCACTGAAGTACCCCAGCAGTTGCTTGCCCAAGGACCTGTTTCTCTGCCATCTGCACAATCTAAAGAAGTGATTGTACAGAAGTTTAAACTGAGTCTTCAGCTTCAGGTTTTAAACCTGAAAGAGTTTCTTCATTTAGTAGTAGGGTAAGGGTAAGGCCAGGAAGGGTAATGATAGGACAAGGGGAAATGGTTTTAAATTGGATGAAAAAAGATTCAGATTAGATATCAGAAAGAAATTTTTTACTATGAGGGTGGTGAGACACTGGAACAGGTTGCCCAGGGAAGTTGTGGCTGCCCCATCCCTGGAGGTGTTCAGGGCCAGGCTGGATGGGGCTTTGAGCAACCTGGTCTGGTGGGAGGTGTCCCTGCCCAGGGCAGGGGGGTTGGAACTAGATGATCTTTGAGGTCCCTTCCAACCCAAACCATTCTATGATTTAGGCTGCAGCCACCGCTCACACCCATCAGCAGGGAACATTCAAGAGTACAAGGACTCAAGTTTGACTGGAAATGTTTCCTGCAACTATTCTATGTTGTGAGCCTTGCAGTGGAAGTTCTTTCCTCTGAAAGCACCAGAAAGCTGTCGTGAACAGAAACAGTGCTTGCCAGGGTCTGTGTACCATGCTGGGGCATAGCTTCTGCCTTAGTGGTGGGTCAGAACCCCTTTAGATAGGTTTGACTTGGGAATTTGTGTGGGTTCTGGTGATGGAACTGCAGCGCTGGACCTGGAGATAGGAGACTGTGAGTTTGGGATATGCTGATGTAAGAGCATAGGATGTGGAGCAAGTGAAAGCTTGGAAAAAAACAGCCTATAGAGGTAATTTGTAGCATGGTGTAAGTGTTACCTTTGTACTGGGATGTCTGGTTTCCAGTACTTGCTGTCTGCTGGATAATCTGGGGCTGGCTATGACACTTGCGTGCCTCTGTTTCCCCACCAAAGGAAGCATAATGCCCCTCTTTTTATAGTGTAGTACCTCTACATGCTACGTGACAGCTCAGTGCTATACTTACACAACAAAAACACAGATTAAAATGCAGTTTAGGCAAAGGGTGAACCCTGCTCTCTCCCTCTCCCTTGTGGGCTGCTCTGGCATCAATAGTGAGCCGGGTAATCACCCTACTCCTCTTTCTCTCTGTCTGCAGACTGGGGTCTTTTTCTCCTCCCTGAAAAACACTGTGTCAAGTTGGTTGTACTGACTTAGGGTACTTGCTGTGATCCAGAAAGAGTAGCAGGCAAATGCATCCTGGAGCTCTGAATCACTAAGAAAAAGCAGGCAGCTTTGTTTTGTTTTTATTCTTGTTTTAGTTAAAAACGCACTTCCCGCCCTAACTTTTGAAGCTTACACGTGGCACAGAGGGGGATCGGTTCCAGTTGATATGAGCCTGGAAGAAGAGAGGGAGGAAATAACTTAATTGCTTTAGACTTCAGTTCAGCTGGAGCCGAGAGGAAAAGAATCAGTGTCCCTCTTTTGGAATTCAGCAAGAAGGTCGTGCTCTTGGTGAGGACAGATCCTCTGCGGATTTTGTGGAGGTACTGTGCGGGGCATACACAAAACAGGTGGCTTTATATTTAAAATAGGAACTCTGCCGTGTCAGTGACAAAAAGCTGTGTTGCTTTCTTGGAATTGTTGCTGCACTTTGATCATACTGTGTCGTGAACAGCATGTTTCTCTCTTTTTTACCAAGAGGGGAGAAATAAGAAATGGGAGGTTTCTGGGCTAAATAACCTGGGCTGGAATGTGCGTGTTGGAGGGTTGTTTTGATGTTTAGTGCTGTAATATGGGGCTTAGAAGATAAAAAAGGGATTGGGTACAGGGGGTGTTATATCAAATTTGGGGACTTTGCCTCTAAGACGTCTGTAGTTGCAGCCTATCTAGCCCTGGTCACTGAAGATCAATTGATGGGTTGAAAACCGGGGGGAGTTAAAAGGGAGGGAGATGAAACACAGGAAAAAAAATGCTGATCTAGGCAGTTCCTGGCTAATTTGAACCAGACCCCTAGGGAACAGGAGGACATTCCCACCTGGAATTCAGATTTTCGGTTGAATGCAGATAAAATTAAAGATTTGTTACTGATAGTGCAGCTCCAGTGTCCTGCAATGAAATGCTGAAGCACACGCTGTCTCTGCTTCTCTTCTGTCAGTTCCAGCAATGCTTTCTTTTGGCATCTCTCGTGGATCTTGCAAACTCTGTTGACAAAAAAGCAATGGGAGGTTGTTTCTTGCCCAAGTCTTTATATTGAGACTATAGCTGCTTCCTCTTTCCTACTCACATTTTCCCATATGGTGACTTTGGAAAATTCCTCTCCGATTTTGTTGGGAAGTGCAGGAAACTCTCGTTGGTAGAGGGTTGCCTGTTGCTCTCTCTAATTCTGCTGCTCACATCTGGAAAGGATCTGGCTTGGAAAGGGGAGACTCGCTCCGAGCTCAGCGCATGTAACGGACATGGCATGAGCCGAGGGAGCCTGTGGGGGCAAGAGAAATGTTCTTCTCCATTCATCTGATTTCCGACAGCAAAGGTGAGTTTTCCAGCACTTTATTTTTTATTTTTTTTTAATGCTGGGTTGTCAGGCAACATCCAGCAGCCTGCCTTTCAGCTGCAGCTTTTAGAAAGGATGTTAAATGTAAGCAACAAACTCAGTTAACCTGTTGATATTGAAGGAGAGGATGTTTTCCCATCTGTGTGTGTATGTCCTGTGAGAATATGCATGGAGAATAATAGACCTAGAGGTGAGATGTTATGAATACGATTCTGTTGTTTATTGAGGTAACCTTAACCCCTGAGAAGCATTCAGTAACTCCTGAAACTTCAGCTTGCTCCTCGAGACCGTGCTGTTTGCAGCACTCTGCCTCTGGTGCTGTGTGGCAGCAAAGTGCAGAAACCAGTGGTGCTTCTGCCTGGGCTCAGAAAGATGCAGCCACAGAACCCCCTGAGCTGCTTTCAGTGTAGCTTCACTCTTTGGGTGGAAGGACCTGACCCCAACCCCACTGACAGCAAGGGAAGAGCACTCTTCCCGAGTGGGTTTTGAGCTACTCCTTTAACAAGGTTTCTTAATAAGGCTTTGGATCGGGCCCTTGGGAATGAGTTTAAATGGAGCGAGTTACTTCAGACTTTCTTTGAACTAAAAGAAAATAAAAATCATGCCTGGTTTTACTGCCTGTGCTCCAGATGTAAGCAGATGTTTCTGTATCCAAAGTGTTTCCCTGTGGCTCCAGAGCAGCATTCACTTCAAAGGCATTGTAGCAGCAGCGTGCATATTGATAACAAGGGGGTGAGATTGCTTCAGAAATGTTAGTGTGCAAGAGAGACAATATTTCAGGTTAATTTTTTAACATCTTTTCAGCTCTATAAGTGGAAAAGTCAGCAAGTTGCAAATGTATAGAGTCCAATACCAACCACGATGTGACTGTGTGCTATGGGAACAGTGTTAGTATTGTTACAGCAGGGCTGATTGTAACCTGTATGTAAGAAGGTTTCTTTAGTTTCTTTTTTAAGTCTCTATCAGGGTAAGCTGATCTACAGGAACAATATGTTGTTAGAGATCTCATATATCATAGTTGCTGAGATTATTTTTTGAGATTATTTCTGCTAAAATTTCTGAAATGTTTTTTAAGATTATGTCAGCAAATACTAAGGATTTTACTAATCCACTGTTGGCATACTCATATGGCCAATTTTTATCTCGCTATTAATATCCAGCTGCCATATAAGGAACACCAGCTGATCTCTGGAATGTTTTATAATGGAGATTAATTTCATTACATTCAGCTTTTACAGATATGGAAGCTGTGGAATAGTGGAGCAGAGAGATTCACGTAAACAATGTTAAATGCTTAAAATCACCCAGCATGCTGGTAGCAAAGACCAGGACCAAAGCAAAACCATCCTTGTCTTGGGATGCTCTGTCCTGTAGTCCCACCTTCTCCCATTCCTTCAAGTATGTCAGTTTAAAGAGATTATTTAAGGTTTTTGTGACTGTGACCAAGAGCAGGATCTCTCCAATATTTCCCAAGCACCCAAAGTTTGTGAGAGCCCCAGAAAGAGTTTCAGCTGGTGCAATGGAGCAAAGCCCCGTGGATGTGAAGAGGGATGTGTCAGTTCTGACGGCTGCCAGTCTTGGTTCTGATGCAGAGAAGGAACCTGGGCTGGCAGAGGTGAACAGAGTACTTAGTTCATATTAATGTTGTGAATCCATTGGGCTTTTTCACCTTAAATATCAGCCTAAATAAGAATGTCTCGTCACTGTTGAATACTTCTGCAAAGAATAGCCAAAAGTATAAAAGACGAGCCCTTAGTGCAAATCGTTATGAGTGAAACCTTAGAAGGGCATGAAATGTGAGGGAGGGGGCTGGGTGAGGGCCAGCTGGCGGGCCCAGGAGATACTCAACTTCTGTTTCTATTATTTTAACCTGCTGCCAGAAAAAGGCTGGACGTTAGCCAGGCCTCTACAGTTCAGATCAGCACTGTCCAAAATCAATAGGAAGCCCATTATTGTTTTCAGTAGCCACGAGATCTCGTTATTGTTCGATGGAGGCGAAGCAGCCCCTCGAGAGGCGTCCTGAGGGTGTGAGTCACCCCCTTTCCAGCACGCCTTGTTTACATTCACCACAAGAGTTTCTTCCCTATGCAAAATGGTGAGGAACAGTGCAACCAACAGTCCCATACGAATAACATTGCATAACCTGCTCTACAGATCTCCAGGATCATCTGGCATTTCTCAATACGAAAAACAACACCAAAAAAAAAAAGGGCAATAAATCACTTGAGGGAGTCGGGGAGGGTGCGGAGGATGCTGCCAGGCCCGAGGGGCAGCCCCGGGGCCGGTCGCATCCCGGTCCCCGAACCGCCTTGTGAGGAGGTGACAGAGCCCAGGGGAGGCGGCGGGTGACAGCGCCCTGGGGGCGGCGGGTCTGGCGCCCTGGGGCTCCGGCCGGCCCCGGGGCGGGAGGTGCGGGGGGTCCCGGCCGGGCCTGACCCCTCGCCCTGCTCTCGGCTTTCAGGGGCGATGCCGGCCGGCGGCCGGGCGCTGCTGGCGCTGGGGCTCCTGG